TGTTCTAAATCTCTCAAACCATGCTCTAGGGGACCGTTTTAGTCCATAAAGAGATTTCTTCAACCTGCATACCTTCCMTTTCATATMAGTTCCWTACATCCCTGGAGGAAGAGACATATAAACCTCCTCATGTAATTCACCATTCAGAAATGCATTCTTCACATCCAATTGATAAAGGGGCCAGTCAAAGTGAGCAGCTAAAGATAGAAGAAGCCTCACAGATGTCATCTTGGCAACAGGTGCAAAGGTCTCTAAATAATCAATCCCATATGTCTGTGTATAGCCTTTTGCAACCAGCCTGGCCTTGTACCTTTCAATGGTGCCATCAACTCGGTATTTGATAGTAAAGATCCACTTGCAGCCGATTGGATCCTTCCCTTCAGGCAATCCACCACTTCCCATGTGTCATTCTTGTATAGGGCATCGATTTCAGATCTCATAGCGTCCTTCCACTCTGGAATCTTAAGAGCTTCTGACACAGACCTGGGAATAGGATGAGAAGCAACAGAAGAGAGATAGGCAAAGTATGGAGGTGAAAGCAAATTGTAAGAAAGGTGCTTGGAAATGCAGTGTGCAGTGCACTTCCGTTTTCCTTTCCTAACAGCAATGGGAATATCAAGGTCAGGGAAGGATGAATCCAAAGGTGCTGAAACAGTACCTGTTGTCTCTTCTGTGTCTGGAAGTGTACGAGGCTCATGTGTTGTAGGAGAAACAACCTGCACATTTCTGGATCTTTGCCTTAGATACACCTTGGGATTAAGGATAGGACGAGGAGGTAGAGTACTGGGACAAGGAGAATGGAACGACTGATCCACCCTTCAAACATTTGAAGGAGAAGCAGACACACCAAAGGACTCAACAGGGATAGGAAGAGGAAGAGCAAACACCTGTGACAAATCCTCCCTCTGTGGACAATGTCCTTCTAGAGAGGAACCATAAAATGGGGAAAGCTCATCAAATGTGACATCCATTGAGACATACCGATTTCCAGACTTTGGATCAAAACAACAATAACCCTYYTGTGTGGGGGAATAACCAAGGAAGATACACTTTTGAGCTTTGGGTTCAAATTTATGCCTTTGGACACTTGGAACATGTACATAATAGGTGCAGCCAAAGACACGAATAGGAACAGGAAAAAGGTCATTGTCTGGATGAAGAAGATTAAAAGGAGACTTAAACCCCAAAACCCTGGATGTCATACAGTTTATAAGGTAGGTAGCAATAAGAACAACATCACCCCAAAATCTGGTAGGAACATGTGAGGCAAATAAGATACTTCTTGCAACTTCAACAATATGCCTATTTTTCTTTTCAACAACCCCATTCTGTTCTGGAGTCCTAGCACATGAGTTTTGATGAATAACCCCCATGTCAGAAAGATAGCAGGATAAGTTCTTCTCAAAGTATTCTTTTGCATTGTCAGATCTGAAGATTTTAATTCTGGTATCAAATTGGGTTAGAACAAATTCATGGAATTGTCTCACAAGTCTTGGAACTTCATCAGGAATATCCAAGTGAATCGAGAAAAATCATCAATAAACAGGATCAAATATTTATAGCCACCCATGGAAGGTAAATGGTAAGGCCCCCACACATTAGAATGCACAATATTAAAAGGAATGGAAGATCTTTTATTACTCAAAGGATAATTGTTTCTACAATGCTTTGACAATTYACAMGACTCACAATGAAGACTARACAAACTAATTCCCTTAAACAGTTCAGGGAAAAGATGACTCAAGGCAGAAAAAGACAGATGACCAAAACGATGATGACACAACATAATCCGACTAACAGACT